CTAGATCTGGCACTGCAATTAAGTTGCTTCATACTATTTACCTTGGCTCAACAAATCAAACCACTGGCTACATGTCCTTGTATATAAAATTGTATTTTTCTGGGAACAGTTTATCTTAAAACCCATTAGCAAGGCACCTGGTATAATCTAAAGCTATTTTGAAGTTTTATATCAGTTGATAGTATGTGGTTATCTTGACATCTGGGGAAATATGGCTGTTTTCTTAAGTTGTGCTCCAAGACAGGTCTTAATGGGAACTTATATCCCTGAGTTTGGCAGTATCTCTTTGTATTTATTTTATTCATAGAAGTTTTGTATAGCCTAACATTAGTAATCTCAGTTGGATAATACAGCTAAGGAGGAGCCACCTCCATGACAATCCACAGATAAAAATGCATAGTATATCAGGAAATGTATTCATGAGATACAGAGAGGGGGGGGGGAATTCCCTATAGCTGATTTGGAAAGAATGCAATTAGCACATGTAAAATTACAGACAAAAGGCCCTATGAGATCTCTATGCAGATGTTTTGAGCTGTCTTTTCTAGCCATCCTCCATGGCGGGTGGATGAAAGACCCCAGCTAACATGGAGTTAGCTCTTTAAACTACTATAATGAAGCCTGGTGTAGTTTGCATTAAGCTTTCGACTCCGCATGATGATTGGGGTGGCCTCGGTCCTGGGCTGAGATCCTGGAGGTCTGAGCTTTCCGGGGGTCTTACAATAGGGGGCTGGCTGGAGTGTGAAAGGGCTGAGGACTTCTTTGCTCGGAGCAGGTGCTGACTGGAGCTGCTCAACTCAGCTGGAGAAGAGTGGAGACTATTACTGACTGAAGAAAGGTTTCTCAGGAAGTCTGTGGTCTCTCTAGTCTGACTGAAGCCGCAGATCTGGCAGATGCTCTGGACCCACCTATTCATGTTGGCCTCTGTCTCAGCCACCAGGTAGAAGGTGTGCTCATTGGTCTTGATATCAAACATAAAACTCTTTTGGAGGTCTTTTTTGTTAAAGGTCAGGCCTACATCCAATTTCTAACAGAAGTTTAAGTTGATAATCATCAGGGGGTTCTTGGAGCATTCATTCTTATAGTATTCTAGAACACCTGGGTCACCACTCATTTGACTGCTTTGCAGGATAAACCAGCGTTTCTTCCAAGCATAGCACCCCAACTTTTTCTCAGGAGGCGATTTCTCCAGCCAGCCGATGCACACCACATCATTGCTGGCTGACTGGAGCCCACAGAAGGCTCGAGTGGACAAGGGCACAGGCTGCTGTGTCAGCTGGCTGCTGGTGCACAGCTCATGGGGGAGGGATTCCTCAGTGGAGGATTTCCTGTATTTCTTTAATAATTTCTTAGCATTATTTCTTAATCCAAAGTTAAAATGAAATCTTTCCAGTACCTTATCTCTTTAAACTTTCTCTGTGTATTTGACTGAGATCTCTATTCCAATCCAACTCTCTTTGGAGTTGAGGCACCCCTTCTCAGGTGCCTTTACAATCCAACTCTCTTTGGAGTTGAGGTATCTATTTTCCAGTACCTTTTTCTAATCCACCTCTCTTAGGAGTTGAGGTACCTATTTTCTAGTACCTTTTGCAACCCACCCTCACAACTCCTTACTTGCTGGCCAGCCTTCTGCAGGTGATCTCTCAGGGTCCCCTTTCATTCCTAATCTCGTTGGGACCTCCACTTGTGGCTGCATGTACCACAACTAAGTCTGAGTATTGGACAAAAGCCTGGAGATTTGGATGAACAACAGGAAGCCTGGTCCTCTTTCTGAGAGAATGTCTCCCACCTTGGTTGTGGGACAGCCTTATATACAAGCTTACAAAAACCCTAAGTCAAAGGGTTCACAACAGGATATTGATCCTAGTGGGGTGTGGTCAGAAAAACAGGAGGTACCTGTGGTTTTGCTGGAAAACAACTCTTAGAGACCCCGTGGGGGCTGGGTCCCAACAACGGAGAGTATCAGGGAGGCAGGGTCTGTAACCTTGGTGCAGGAATGTGCAACAGTCATTTATTGTTTTCTGTGTAAGTTTTTTCCCTAATAAAACTCCACTTATCATTTGTACTCAGCCTGGTGAATCCATAGTTTGCATACCATTACTGCTGCAGTATTTTGATGATGTTAAATGTAAGTAGCCACGTGGAACTCATTTGGTAACACATATGTTAACCAGAGGATGGGACATAAACCCAACCAAAATTCAAGGGCCTTCTGCCTCTGTGAAATTCTTAGGAGTTCACTGGTGGGGAACATGCAGAGATATTCCATCTAAGGTGAGGGAGGGATAGGCTTACTGGGCCTGTTTGGATTCTGGAGACAGCACATTCCTCACTTGGGTTTGTTTCTCTGGTACATATACCAAATGACAGGGAAAGCTGCTATCGTTGTAGGTGGCCTGGAACAGGAGAAGGTTCAGGAACTTTGAAGGCTGCTCCACCACTTGAAATATATGATCCAGCAACCTGTTGGCACTTTACCAGTCAGTGGCAGTGCTATTTGGAGCCTTTGGTTGTTCCCTATGAGTGAATCACAGAAGGCGTGTTTGAGATTTCTGAGTAAGGCTGCACCATCATCTTCAGACAACAATTCTTCTATGGGCTGAGCTGCTCTTGTGCCTTTGAAGAAGCTGAACCTTTGAAAATGGGCCATGAAGTTATCAGGCAACCTGTGCTGCCTATCATGAGCCTGCAGCAATCTATTATCAAAGGAACATCATGCCTTTAGATTTGAACTTGTTAAAATGGTTAAATGAAAATTAAAACCTTAGTAGCCTTGTGAGGCAATTCTACCCAGTGAACGAGCTTCCAGATGTCATCATCTCCAACAGTCACACTTAACCACACCACAACAAGAGACTGCAATCATTGCTTCCACCAAACATAGTGCAAGGTTTCCCAGGTTTTCTGAGAGAACTGGGTATGCAGGAAAACAAGGAATAATGCCATGCACTCAGAGAAATGGTAGAGACTTAAATCTAGGCTTGGAGTCCTCACATGTTTAATTTCTTCTTGGATAGGATAGGGAGGATTATATTAAGGAAATTTATTGTCCAGACAGACAGACTAGGTACTTGCTTCCTTTCTCTCTGTCTCTGTCTCTGTCTCTGTCTCTGTCTCTGTCTCTGTCTCTGTCTCTGTCTCTGTCTCTGTCTCTGTCTCTGTCTCTGTCTCTGTCTCTGTCTCTGTCTCTGTCTCTGTCTCTGTCTCTGTCTCTGTCTCTGTCTCTGTCTCTGTCTCTGTCTGTCTCTCTCTCTCTCTCTCTCTCTCTCTCTCTCTCTCTGTGTCTTTTCCTCTAGAGCTGAGGCTGTATTCCTTTCATGATGATGCTCACCATTAGGAGGCATGCCCTTGTGGGAGTAAATGTGTCCTTGTTTTTAGGGTGTCACTGCAGGCAGGACTTGAGTTTTCAACAACCCCTGCCAAAACAATATTTTTTCCTGCTTCCTTCCTGTGCATCAGTGTGTAAGACTCAGGGTTATGCCTTCCCACCATGATTCTGCCATTCATGATGATAGTGAACTAATCCTCTATCACTATAATCAAATCTCAAATTAGAAACCTTAAGCATAAGAATCACCTTGGTCATAATGTTTCTTCACAGCAATAGAAAAGTCACTAAGCCAGATTGTCTGTGTAATATTTTGGTGTATTATCTCTCTGTATTGTGTCCATGTCCTGTGATGTTACATAAGGCTGAATTAAAGAACAATGGACTGTCTTGACCAACACAGTCCATGGTACGGTTATTACTGATGACTAGTTCAGGTCCATGGTGAAAAAGAGCAACAATTGGGGGAAGAAACTAATGAAACCTAAAATGGTTTGGAAAGGAAAACAGCACTAGGTAGTTCTAGAGGGCAGTCACGTGCTGAGACAGCAGTAATTATCAGGGAGGCTAGGGCCATTCATGCGAAGGCACCTGCTTTTCTTTGGGATTACAGAAAAGTTGTTGTAAGGAAACTGTCCATCCAGCCAAGCATTTAAGAATGGAAAGAAAAGGAAGGTGATTACTAGTCCCAATCCAACTTCATATAGACTCTGCTGCTGCTGGGTGTCATTGAGACCAGATGCAGTCACAGCTAGAGCCCTGGGTAGCAGTGCCATCTATGTGCTTCTTTGTTTGTGAAAGAAGAAAGATACAACATTTAAAAGTCATGGATTTGTCCTCTGTGCTTCAATTTACCAGTGTTTCGGGCATCTCTTTGGAAGAGTCCAATCCCAAGTAAGTACCCCGTGAGAGTTCACTGCATGAATCTGTGATGATGAAGCCTGGGTTGCATTTTGAGACCATAACATGTTGAGATACCCCAGCTTTGAGACACCTGCCATGAAAAGCTTCGTGTAGGGAGTGGAAGTAGCATGTGGGCTCGTGCTCGAGAGGGAGAGAGAGAGAGAGAGAGAGAGAGAGAGAGAGAGAGAGAGA